GGAGGGATGAAGGAGGGCAGTCCTGCACCAGGGGGTATGTATTCCTGAGGGTGCTGCACGTTCCTGAGCATGGGTTCCTTGTGGGTGCCTGCATGGGGATGTGGTGCCCAGGTGGGGTCTCTGCCAGGGGGGACCACCAGACCCAGAGGCTGGGAGCTTGGATGCTGCTGAGGGGATGCTGGGTGGCCCTGCGGGCTGGGCTTACCAAGACACACAACACACATGACAAGAAGAGTGACGATGAAATCACTGGCTCACCATTTTAAAGTTTCCTTCAGGAGTAACTGAAGTTGTGCAGCCATGAAGCTGAATAGTTTTTGTTCTTCCTGTGGGGTGGGTTTGTTGGGCACACAAAGCTGGCATGAGCTGGGGAGCTGCTTCACTCGAGACCTGCAACCTTCCCCATTGTCCCTGCAGCATCCGTGCAGCTGATGCAACGGACCTGCCAGCTCTGCTGTCTGCCCCAGGTCTTCATGTGTTTCTACATCTTCTGGTGTTGAAGAAATTTTGGAAACAGCCCTGAAGGCTCAATAAAATGCACGCTGTGTTTGCTTGGTTTAACAATCTCTCTCATTAAACAAGGTGTGGGAGGTGAGATCCAGTATTCACCATCAAGTCTGGTTTATTAAACGGATGTTTTTAAGCAGCAAATGTGTTTTGCTAAGTTGTTAATGACACTTGCTGAAAAAAAAAAGGGCAGGGAACAGACAGGGGCTGTTTCTGCAGCTCCCTGCATCCCCAAGACCTGGGGTCCTGTGGGGTGGGAAGGGATGTCACAGCTGGGGCACTGCTGGACCCCCAGCTCTCTTGCGGTGGGGAGGGGGACGTTGGGGACACCAAGGTCCTGTTCAACCACATTCCCCAAGCGCCCGCAGCCACCCTGGAGAAAAGATTTACCCGTCTGGGCGTCGTTTCTTCCTCCTGGGCTGGTGCAAATATTTTGTGTCTTTTGTGGAGTCCCCTTCCACGCCCTGAGGGTAGACATGACAGTCAGGTTCAAGTCATCATGCCCCAAATTCCCTGCCAGCCTCCGCGGAAGAAAGAAAGAAGCACCTCCTTCCAGCCCTTCCCGCAGCAGGATTTGAATAACCAGGTGTGAGCATCAACCTCCCTCGTTAATGCGTTTGATGATTGACCAAGCGCTCATTCTTGTGGGAGGGCGGCTTGCCCAAGCGCAGCACCCTGCGAGGAGGGGCCGTGCTCAGCTGCTCCTCCGCACCCGGAGAGCCTGCGGTCCTACCCGTCGCCATGCCTGCCCGTCGCCTCCTCCTCCTCCTCCTGGGGCTGCTCCTGCAGCTGCACCCTGCCTGCTGCCAGCAAGGTAAGTGCAGGCAGCTGCCAGACCTCTGGGGGAAACTGAGGCAAGGGGGAGGTGTGCTGAGCCCCAGGCAGGAGGGAGCTGCTCGGTGAGGTGGCTTTGGGGACAAGGGACAACTACAAAAGAGCCTCTTGGGAAGAGACAGTACATCCCAGCTCCTGCTCAGCTCTGGCTTCTTATCAGCGGGTGATGGGGATGGTGGGTTCGGAGGTCTTGTTGGATCCGGGGCAAGGAGGGTTTCTACCTGTTTTGCCAAAGGCTGAAACTGCTGTCCGAGGTCTATCTCACCTCATTACACAGAGATAAATAAAGTAGCTCTGATTTACCTCCGGCAGGACTGTGCACCAAGAGGAGTAATCTGTTTTCTTAAATATTTTTTTTTCCTTCTTTCTTCTTGCTCTCGTCACTGGACAAGCATTGTCTTGCGTTGCTCCCCAAGCTTGCAAGTTTTCCTGTTAATCTGTAATTTTGATCACTGCCGAGGTGAAGGAGCAAATATTTTCCTCTGTAAATTGTCCTCCCCTTCTCTTCCCGAAGACTTACTTAATAGGGAAACTTCCAATGGCTGGGGTATTATTTTTAGGAAATTTGTGGAAGGACTTGTCTAATGCTACAAATAATGAGGAGTAATTAGAACTCATCTGATGCTTGCCAAAGTCCTGGAAAATCCCCTCCCTCTTTCTCTTTTGCATGCCCCAGCCCTGACCGC